ACTGAACTTGATCACCATTGTGACTGGGAGAGATTTCCAGCATAGCTGTCTTCCAATATTATTTCCATAAGGCTTGATGTGCAAGCCTTGTCCTTTTTCCCTAGGCTCTGATGTTCTACATTTAGTTCTTGGTTTATTTCTTTAAGCAGCACTTCCATCAGTGTTACAGAGCATTGAGTACATGAGTAATTTTTCTTTTAATGAATCTTAGGTGTTGCCAAAATCCTCTCTGAGTTCTACACCAAAATCTTGGCAGCAAGAGCCAAGACACTACCTGGCAAGAAGAATGTTGAAACTGTTGAGTGCTGAGAGGTCTGCAGGCAGGATTATATGGAAGTATAGTAGCAGAGAAGACTAAAACAAATGATGTCTTAAAGAAGTCTTATTGGAGGAGTGGCCGAAGGAGCTGTGATTGTTTAGCCTGGAGAAAAGGAGGCTCAAGGGAGACTTTATCGCTTGCTATAGCTGCCTGAAAGGAGGTGATAGTGAGGTGGGAGTCAGTATTTTCTCCTAGGTAGCAAGTGACAGGACAAGAAGAAATGGCCTCAAGTTGCATCAGGGGAGGTTTAGATTGTATATGAGGAAAAATTTCCATGCTGAAGGAGTGGTTAAGTACTGCGGCCCAGGGAAGTGATTGAGTCATCAACTCTGGGAGTATTTACAAAGGCATGTAAATATGGCACTCGGGAGCATGGTTCAATGAGAACATGACAGCTGGACTGGCAATTATAGAGATCTTTTCCAGCCTAATGTTTCTCTCATTTGTTCTTCTAATAAAACTTGAAGCTGTATTTATGCAGCTATGTTAAAATTGTTTAATTGGTTTGAAGTGCTTATTTTTCTTTTTAGTGGTTCTTATGCTCCATCATACTTCTGGCAGGGCAGCCTACTGATGTGCAGACCTGTCTCAACAGAATGTGTGCTGTACAAGTAGAATTGGAGAATAATGTTAAAATGTTGGTAATGGTTTTGATTTTGTGTTTGATAAACTCTTATCAAGAGACAGCGGAATCAATTTTTAAATTGTGGTGTTGTTGCGGTGTTGTTAGAAAAAGCACATAGAATTATAGAGCAGCTTGGGTTGGAAGGGACTTTTAAAGGCCATGTAGTCCAGCCCACTGCCATTAGAAGTGACATTTTCAGCTAGATCTGGTGGCTCAGAACTCCTTGAATGTTTCCAGGAAGGGATTATCTATCACCTCTGTGGGCAACCTATTCCAGTGTTTCACCACTATAATCATAAAAAAAAGTCTTCCTTATGTCTAGTCTGAATTGATCTTTTAACATAGAAACATCACCCCTTAGCCTATTACAATAGGCCTGACTAAAAAGTTGTCCCCACCTTTCTTACAAGCCCTCTTTACACAAGCTCACCATCAGATGGGTCAGTGTACAATTTGGATTGAACTTCAGCGCAGCTTTGTTACGGTCACAGACCATCTTAAACAACTTTAAAATATTAAAACATTTAAGCTGATCAGGGAAGCCTGACTGCTGTGTTTGACACTACTTGGTTTGATGCAATAGCTGTCCTTAGTCTTTGAATGTGATAACTACTCTTTATCTAGTCTACACATAAAAAGGCTTTGTGAAATAATACATCACTTGAATACCTTCAGAGGCACTGGGGCCATGGAGTGAGGAAGGGCTTTGGTTGCTGCAGCTGCAGTCTCTTCAAGTCACCAGTTGAGTTTATTTTTTTAAGACAACTTCTTGGAAATGAGTGTTAATGTCCGAGATAATGGGATGTTCTTCAGCCATAAAGTTGCCTGTGTATTAAGCTATGTATGTGAAAAATATAGCTGTTCTCTCAATGCAGGGCCTTTTTCAAAGCAGCAGATGCTATGTCTAGGGAGATGTAGTTTTTAAAATCATCCCTGCACTAACCTGATGTTGTAAATAGTTTAAGTAAGATATAAATGACACATGTGATTGAGTAATGATATGTGAAATCCTTCTATTTTACAAGTAATGCTAGTGATTCAAATCCTTGATACTGTTTATATTTAGTAGTGGAAAGGGTTTTAGGTCTTTAAAAAAATGTCATCATAAAAAAAATAGAATTTATGAATGACATTTTGCTGAGTAGATGCAACAAAGAATTGTAATACTGGAATCAAGTCCTTTCTTGTTTTTCATTGTTGTATCCTTGCTAGTAGGATTTTTTACCTTTACAATTACTTCTCAGACTCAGTGCCAATTTGACATCTGTGTAGAGGTATATGATACTTAGGTCAAAGTACACAAAATGGTATCTAGATTGGTATGGTAGTCTACAAGCAGATTATATTGTTGAGTTAGTGTCGAAAAAGGGAATAAAAGAGATTTTTTGCCAGGTGAGGTAGCATCCTTCCAGGAACATCTTGTAGCAGAAGTTCCGAGTAACATTTTCATCTTGCCACAATTTCCCTTTGAGGTTTCAAGTGTGTAAACATTCATTATTTGAATTTAGCTTTAGCAGGAAATGATTGCCATAAAGGGGTGATGGGGGAGCATCACATTAAGCACTACAGATAAGACAGTTAAAAAAAAAAAAAAACACCTTAGCAAATTAACTTGAGCTTTTAGTGAACCAAAGACTGAATGCAGTGGGACAGATTCTAGTAAATACATTTCAGTTAATTTGTCCAGATAAGTAAAAAAACTTGAGAATACATATGGAGACATCAGGCTTCCCAACTAGGAAATGTCCATCTGTGCTACAACTACCTGAAAGGAGGCTGTAGTATAACATAGGGGTTGGTCTTCTCTCCTAGAAGGCTCAGGATAAGAGGAAAGGGCCTCAAGTTGCACCAGGGGAGGTTTAAATTTGATATAAGGAAAAATTTCTTCACTTGAAAGGGTTGTCCAGCATTGGGAGGGGTTGGATTACCAACCCTAGAGATATTTAAAAGATGTGTAGATATGGCACTTAGGGATATGGTTTAGTGGTGGATGTTGCAGTACTGGGTTAAAGTTTGCACTTGGACCTCTGAGGTCTTCTCTCAGCCTAAACTAAGGATGCTGGTTATCTTGTTAGCAAGCCAAAAAACTGAATATTTAACTTGCATTTCCTCTCAGTGTGGAGTGCATTAATTTCCCTCTCCCATTCATGTGCTGGACTTTAGAAAATGTGATCTTGTCTGTCCTCCAAAGATCACATTTATCTCTCATAATCTTCAGTTCTCATTCTAGGCCTGCGACTTAGCTCTATAGGATAAAAATGTCAGAACAAGGATAATGGATCTGATTTTCTCCAGCAGTTAATCTATTTTAAGTGCACACTTGTCTCAAATTGCTTCTGGTCAAGCACTGCTGTATATTTGGTGTTTCACTCAACATTGCAAGAATTGTAGGACTGTGAATGAATGTTTGCTATTGCTACTTTTTTAGGCATACCTGAATAAGTTTAGAAAGCATATATAGTACATTGTGGGTGTTTACCTAGGATTCCTTAAAAATGCTACAAAGCATTGTAAGTTAACAAAGAAAGTAGATGAATAGGAGACTTTCACCTTCCCCTAGAGGGGACTCCAAGTTTTTCCACAACCTAGGTTATTTCTGGTAAAAGATGTTGAAACTAGTTCTCAGTTAAAAAAAAAAAAAAAAAAGCCAAACAAACATTCAGAGCTTTTCTGTTGCTGTTGTTTAAGTGTGAATATCCATAGTATAACTGCTTCTCTGGAAGAAGTCAGGCAGATCAACCTGATCTAATATCAGGGTTAACTCTTTTGTTTTGGAGTTGATTTTGGTGACCTTCAAGGGTTTATGCTGACCTAAATTATTCTGTGATTTAATCTGCACTTAGTCATGGTTAGCTGCAAGTGTCTTGAGTTTCAGGCGGCAAGAACCTAAGAACTCTCTGCAGTTAAGCCCTTCCTCACAGACTGGGGGCGGAGCCTTGTTTTGCTGCCTTACCCAATTACCCCAAAGTGAGCGTAGATGTGTTTCTGTATTGCTTTTACCCTGTGAAGTAATGGGATAATCTGTTCTGATTGCAAAGGAGTTGACTATCTCCGTATTAATTTAACACAGATTTTGCCTTTATCCTGGAAGATTGATGGAGTGGGAATGATCCATGAGAGACTGTTAAAACACTCAAGCACATAACTGAAATGACATAAACTGGTGCTAAGTTAAGCCTGGTTTGGTGGTTTTTCCTTTAAAAAGCTTAAGTGACCTCAAATCACTTTCCTGCTTACTGACACAAGCATGCCTTTAACTGGATTAAACAGATTTGCTTTAGTGATCCACTGTAGTGATCACTAGTTGATTTAAATTACTAAAACCTTAGTGATTTAGGTAGTATCTTCTTAAAGAAGAAAAGGGACCCATGTTCACATTTTGTTTCTTCCGTATATTCCCACAGTTGAACCGTACAGTTTGCCAGTTTACCTAGTGATTGGGTAAATTGTATTCTAAGTAAATCTCTAAGTAGCCCTTAGCTGTACTATTACAGGTAGAAATTAGATGTTTTATTTTTTTAATACTCAGGTAAATTCTCCCACCCTGATACCTCTGTATCAATTTCTGAGGTTATAAGTATATCCTGCTTCATGGTTTCTTTCTTCTTTCCAAAAGTCTGTATTGGCAACTAGGAAAGTCTTCTGTCTTGAGATGTCTTGTACTGGGAAGTCACTAGGCTAGGGAAATGGGATTTTGAAAGGAGCATCTAGACTCTGAGATTAATTCTCCTCAAAAGTTCTATTGAGTCAACATTTCTAACTCTAATTTCTATTTTAAGAATTTCTGGATTGAGGTGGATATTACTACTTCCCTTTCCTATTTCTGTTGAAAATGAATTACTTTTTAAATCAAAAAGTAAACCATAAGGTAGAGTATTTGTTGCATGTTCTGAATGCTGAGAAGAAGCAATTTAATATGAATAGGTATATTTGCCTAGAGTTTGTTAGTGATCTGATCACTGTGTCTTGCTGGACGAATGACTACATTTGTAATAGTATGCTAAGGTACTGTGGTTTTAAATGCATTTCAATGATTACATTTCACATCTTTTACAGAAATGTTACGAACAAAAACAGTACAAAAATGGACTCAAGTTCTGCAAGATGATCCTTTCTAACCCAAAATTTGCTGAACATGGAGGTAACTGCAGACTCAAGATTTTTTTTTTTGTCTCCTGTCAAGAGCTTAAATGTTTTATTAGTCTATATCATAGTATTGAGGAAGAAAAGAGCCTGTTGTGGAATGTGATTCTGTTGTTATGACTGAATAATTACTCTGGGTTTTCAGTCTTTGTGCATTCAGATCAGGTTTCCACTCTGCCTCAGTCAAACACTCCTGTGCACTGGGATGTTGAAGATGAAAATACATGGTGGAAGCAACACTTCAGTGAAGCTTCCAACTTGCCTTTCTAGGTTTCTGGGTCAGAATGCTAGTGTGGGTCTTTCTTACATTCCTATTTAAAGCAAGCCCAGCCTTTTTTTAATATTCTATGAAGATGCTCTGCCAATAAATTAAAAATCTGGAGGGTTTTTTGTAAAATTAATAGTTTTAAATTTTCTATACTGCATAACAAGTTGCTGCTTAAAGGGAGCAGAGTTAAGTGTAATACTGTTGCTGTTAATACTTGAAGCTGAAGACAGAATCTGGTGATCCTGCTCTGATAAATACTGTACGAAGCAGGGCAGCAGAATATTGCTTCTATTTACATCTGTTAAATTCTATTTACATCCTGAATAGGATACTCTAGTCTTACTGTATTACAGGTTTCTCTTACATTATTCAGACACTTTCCTTCTGATACAGTGGATTTTTTTGGGTTTTTTTACTGTTGAAGCAACCTAACACTGAGTGTGCATGTACTCTGTCAGTAAAATTAATTTCCTACTTGATGTTGTCAAATCTTGTCAAAATGTTTGACTAATCCTTTTTGTACTTCCGTTCATGTCTGCTGTTTCTTTGTTGTCTTCATTACTTCCCTAGAGATAAAAGTAGTTTTTTTGTTGCTTTAAAGCTAGAGTGGTTTGTTCAGCTCTGACCTGATACATTTGTCGCTACTAGCACTTCTGTTTCTATAGCGTCTCTGTGTACAGATCTGTCTTTTCTGCTCTTGCTGCCTCTTAAACTTTTCCAGGACAGCTAGCTAGCTGCCTGGCAGTCCACATATTATGTGTCTTTGAGCCACTAATGGCTGTGAAGCTTGGGAATAAAGCCTGGAATGGACAGCTGAGGCAGAATTTAGCCAGTGAGATGATCTGCACTTGAAAGCTGCACTTGTCACACTTAGCCTCAGAGAAAAGGAGTTTCAAAAGCTTAGTGAGAAGGTGGCAAAACAGATGGATTGATGTGGCTGGGCAGTTATCACCCTGGTGTGGGAAGGCAGGATTATTTGCTCCCTTTCCCACAGTGCAGATATTCTTCTTAAAATGTCTTAATGTCTTAAATTATTTGAAAGGTATCATTCTGGCTTTCTCTGTTCTTACAGTGTGAATGTAGGACAACTAAAAAATAACCATAAAAAAAACCCCTTTGACTAATTTTGGGTCATCATTTACTTATAGGTGTACTCTACAGAAAAAGTGTTAAATAGGTCTATCAATAACACTTGAAACTGCTGTTACAGCTGACCTTGAGATCACAGTCTGTTGCTGTTAATACTGGGGAAGAGGCTGTAGTTAGAGGAATTATGAACATTATTATGAAAATGGTGATTTATTTTCTGGCAGGAACCAGAACAAGTGGCCTCTTATTTAACAAAAACACATAAATATAAATCTGGAATAGTTTTCAGGCATAGTGGATGCATTACATGCAACTTGCTTGTCTACTGTATGCCTTGAAGAATGGGGGAAGAGGGAGAGCAATAGTCATACCAACATACTATGTGAAATCCTGTGCCTCTCAGAATGTTGATTAAAATGTTATTTCATTGTGGTCTCTTGCACTCCTCATATGGTAGTAGTAAATACGTTTCCCTTAACTAATGCTTTATAAGAAGTCTGTAACAGGGGAACGGACTGTGACAGAGATTTGTTTCTTGTGGTGAACACAGCTTTTTTCCCCTTGGTCTTTCCAACAAGACCTTTAATACACATTGAGGAGCTCTCTAAATTTGCTTTAGCTTATTGTTAACTCCCTCAAAGCTAGCTAAGTGTATTTTTTAATTAATAAAAGTTTGTGTTGTCTGTTTTCATTACAGCTGCATGATGCTCTAAAAGTGATCTTTTTAAGACCGGTTTCAAGAAAGGAAATGATCCATGTAATAGTCTTCAGCTGTGCTAGGCTGCTATTGTGGTCTAAATTTATTTTTTAATGGGAGACTTCACTGTGTAGCAACTTCAAAGGATATCTGCACTGTGAAGCTGACATATGGAAGTCAGAAACATAAGTATTGATATTTCTTACAGAGACACTTGCGATGAAAGGACTGACCTTGAACTGCTTAGGGAAGAAGGAGGAAGCATATGAATTTGTTCGTAAAGGACTTCGTAATGATGTGAAGAGTCATGTCTGTATCCTTTGTACTACAAAACCTGATAATTTTGCTGTGGCACACTATTGATGGAAATCTGAGATGCTGAGATTGTGACAAAGACTTCTGATGCACAAAATGCACTTTCCCTTTTGTCAGTGAATTAAGTGGAGTTCTATGTTTTTTCTGTACTGTAAAAGCTGGAGTCTAATTGAGGTTACAGATAGGCAAGCGAGGAAAACTAGAAATTGTACACGAATTCCATTGTTAGAATGAAACACTTCCATGAGTAAGAATTCCTACTGTAATTGTGATAGCATATTTTAAGCAATCAATCTGTGACTAACTCTTACAGTCTGGTGGAGTTTGGGTAATTTCATTTGTGTAACAGTGCTCAGGGGGTTCTGAATGTGACTTAAGCAGTAAGATGTCATTTAAAAAAAATTAGGAAGCATTTAATATTTTACAATGTGTTAGTAAAGTCTGGCTGCAGTAATCCATCTTCATTTGTAAAGGTACTGATCTTCAAGGAAGTTGTCAAGTTGTTTGGCCTGTAATACAAGTACACTGCAGTTACTTTGTGAAAACTGTAAATGTATCTTCCTTAACCTGCATTAGGTTGGCATGTCTATGGTCTTCTGCAGCGTTCAGATAAGAAATATGATGAAGCCATCAAGTGTTACCGGAATGCACTCAAACTAGATAAAGATAACCTACAGATTTTGAGAGATCTCTCTCTGTTGCAGATTCAGATGAGGGATTTAGAAGGATATAGAGTAAGTACTCTCTTTGAATTCCCACTCATTGATGCTAGACTTCTCTTGTACTATTCCACTGCAACACCTTTTATTGGTAGTATTTCTATTGCTACTCTTTATATGTTTCAAAAATATTTTAAGCTATTGTTTAGGAAAGCAGGAAAAGATACTGCAGTAAAGCTCTATATAAGGCTGCGAGCAGAACTAGAAATATTTATTCTGTGCAATTGGATTCACTAGTCACTTTGTAAAAATAGCTCTTAACTAATTTTTTACTAAAATAGTAACGAAAAGGGACAGTACTTAAATTAGCGAGTACTTGCCAAGCAATTGTGAGCTCTGCAGACTGTGTTTTGCATGCAAATGCTGAAGGTGTTTTTGGTAAGAAATACACTATCACATTTCTTGTTAGTGTGTAGGTAACTTGCCCCATGATGACTGATTCTGGAATCCCAGTGATGATTATTATAAATGAAATGTTAAAATTTGTCCAAAACCAGTGAGTAGTTTCAAAATGGCTGAACTGATTAATCTGTTTCATATGAAATAGAGGACTGGACTGTGGGCTTCACATTAGTTGGTCTCCTTACTAAGGATCTTAATTTCCTTGAATTTGCTAATGCAAAGGGAAAATAGAATCATTGACCCGGGGAAATGATTTGACTTGGGAAGAAGTTCTGAGAAGTGTTGTAGTGGTGTGTGAGGACCTTGTGCCTATGAGAGTGAATGCCACTCTTTCAGTGGCAGTGAGCTCCTGCTTCCTGGTGGAGAGGGCTTTCTGAGATTTCAAAGCTCTATCTTTGAAAATAATTTAGGCTCTTAGGAGGTGCTCTTGCAAATGACACCTTCTGTGTCTCTACAAAGAGATCTTATGTTTTGTTCCATGACTTGTGTATTTAGAATGTAACCTCCAAATTTATCAAACAGAAATGTACTGGTTTTTGCCATGCTGTTAGAATTTCAAGGGTTGCTAGTTAAAAATTCTTCTTTTAAAATTGCATTTCTTTCACTGAAGGAGACAAGATACCAACTGCTTCAGCTGCGCCCCACACAACGTGCTTCCTGGATTGGATATGCCATTGCATACCACTTACTAAAAGATTATGATATGGCCTTAAAACTACTTGAAGAGTTTAGGAAAACCCAGCAGGTAAGATTTCCTGGTCTGGAAGGAGACACTTATTGTATAAGGGATAGAATCTGAGGAGTTAATTCTTTGGAAATACAAATCAATTATGAATTGGGAATATATTTGTTATTTGTGGAGCTTTCTGCTTTGAGAAATAAGCTATTAGGGTTGAGTATATAAGAGGAGCCTCATGCAGAGTTAACTTAATGTTTGTGAGACTTACAGCTAGAGAAAACCTGTGATGATCCTGCCCCTTTACAGTAGATGAAACTAGAGAAAATACTTTAATATTTTGGATGTGCTCATTTGCCCTTTTTCCTGCCATAGTCTGGATGCCATTACATCTCTACAAAGAATGAAATATTGTCAGTGGTTTGTATGCATCTGTATATAGTACACTTAAAATGAATGCTTGGTTTCAGAGTAACATGAAGTGTAGCTGAAAATTCTTTGATCAGACTTGGTGTTGGTGAGACCTGAGTAAACCAAGTGGTACAATCCTAAAATCACTGAGTAGAACCTTTTTTTGAGAGAGACTATTCCCTGGTTCTGTTAGTGGTAATGCAGAGCTGTAAAGTCTAAATTAGCAGAACAGAGTGGATATGTTGATTATTCTGCAGTGTGGAAAGAAAAAGGAGCATGTTTATAGATCCATTTAACTGGGGAGGCATTCTCAGAAGTAGTGTGTAAAAATATTAAGTTATTACCTGACTCTAGACTGTTTTTAAAACAAAAATCTCATATAATTTCTGAGTTGTTATATATGGGATTAAGTGTAAGAAATGAAATATATGGCTAGGAGAGACCAGTACTTGATCATATATTATGGTCAAAAAAAGGATGTTGCAAGCTGCCTGTATATAGCTTGATATTTCAAAAGAACTGTAACTTCAGTATTAAGTAAAAACTGAAAAGAGTAAGTTTTAATCAAAATTGGGTCATATTCTGTGAGTGTTTGACAACCAAAAAGTCATAATTCTCAAATGAGTCAGGAGCACCCAGTCTGAATTTGGTGTCAAAATAACTGTTAGAGTTAGAAAGAAAGAATATGTATTATATGGAAAACCAGCAAATGTTGCCTAAGAAGCTGAGGTTCTTCAAGGACTAACAGATCTTAGTAGTGGTATTGGCCCCTTGGAGAGAATGGACGTGATACTGTTAGTGTTGTAGTCTTTTCTAAAAGGTTGTGTGTAAATACGGTTGTTTGAGGGCTGTCATGGCGTGCTGTGCAGTCTAGTGGCTAAGCCAGATTTAAATACTGTAGATGGATGCATTTAAAGGAATTTTATAGGAAATTAGCCCCATTAAGTCTGTTCTCTTTTTTTTGGGATTATTAGAGATAGTTAAGTAGGTACATTGTCTTTTCTCCTCCAAAACACTAAAAATATGTATGAACACATTAGTTGCATTTCTTTTGGAAATAGTCTTGTGCTTTATTGTGCTAACTGATGAGTGCAGGCCAGGTGGGACCCCAAACACTGGGAGAGAGAATCAATGTGTTGGGTCCAGAACGGGCAGGAGAGCCCAGGCAAACTCACAGCTCAGTTTTGCCATGTGTTGGCTCTTCCACAGTATTCCCTAAATGTACTGCTTTTTGCGGTGTCTGGATTTTTCAGTCCTGCAGTTAAAATAATTAAGTTCAGGACGTTGCATGGATCTTTAAGGAGATACACATCATGCTTATTTTCCTTCCCAAATCTCCCCTCTTGGCCTGTAGTTTATATATACTCCACTTGATAGATAAACTTCTGTGATGGACTTTACAGACAGCTGCATATGACTGCAATAGAAGAGTGGTAGCTTAAAAGGAGGATTAAAAGACTGAAGGGTTTTCAAATGACTCACGAGGAGGACTCTTCAACAAACGGATGTTTTTGAGGAGTTTTATGGCAATCTGTATTAGGCCTGATACTGTCTACCATTCATGTTAATGAATTGACAAAGAAATGTAACACGTTGCATAAAATGCTGCTCTCATAATAACTGAGAAATAATGGTAATGTAGGATGATGATATTTATTTACTTGAATTACTCAGGCAGCTCTGTCCTTTCAGATATGAATGCAAACAGCCAAGACCAACAAGTAAAACAAAAAAAAAAATAAATCAAGGAATTGTCATTTTAGTGGTTGTAGATGAATATCTGAAGATGCAGTATTCCAAAATAATGTAGCTAATCTAGCTACAAGTTGTTGCCAAAACCAGCAATCTGAGTTTTTCCTGTGTGCTTACACCACTTCCTTGTGCAGCACTGACTGACTTGTGGAGGGTTGGTTCAGGAAGCCTAAGTGCCAGAAAGATAATCACTCTTTGGAAGGACTCCTTGGCTGAACTGAATTACTATGAGGTGAGAGGGGAGAGAGGAAGGGGAATAATAGAGGGAAGTGAGCTGCCTTTGTTGATCCAGGCTGCTGTTAGTCTGACTTAGTTTACTGTAAAACTGTCCCTCAGGGCAAAATTATGGGTGAAAAGTAAAATGCTCTCTTAGTTCAGACAGCAGGGATTTTATCCATAAAGTACTCCTTACTGAGAGATCAAGACTTATTGATGAGGCTGTTGTCAAAAAAAAGAAAATGAAAAGAATAATATGGCAAGATAAGATGACTACAGAGAAAGCTGTCTGAAGGGCAGAGAGTCTTTTAGTTTACTGTAAACACAAAAAAGCCTAGATGATATTAGTAAAAACTGTATGCTGTTTGGGAAGAGTAATAGCTAGTAAGCTGGCTTAGAAGGGAAAATAAAGAAAGGAATAGGAAGTTGAGGATTGTCAGGAAGTTGATAAACAAATTAAAGTGATAAATTGTTTTTTATCCTTGACAGTTTTATTCTAGTGGCTAAGTCATCACTGGAAATGGTGACTCTTAGTGTATTAAGATCAATGTTGGCTGTCATCTGAAAGCTGTAAATTGGCCAGATGCACAATATTTTAGTCAAAACCAGGTTATGAGGTTAAAGGTAGACATCACTGCAGGAAATGTAACAGCTTGTGCTGTCCCAAGTTAAGTCAAAATTATGTAAGAGTCAGTTCAGAATTAAAATTTTGGGAACCAAGGTGTAAAACAACTATGCAATTTGTTTTACTGTTGTATGTCCCATTTTTCCTTTCTTCTTTTCCAGAACAATTTTTTATTCTAAATTTTTTATTTTATTCCTAATTTTCACATCAGGCCCACAAATACAGATATGGACAGAAAACCTCTGGAGTTTTGGGGGTCTGCTCTTAGGTATGTTTTGGCTGCATCTTGTCACATTCTTTCAGTGACAGTTGTTAGGGGACCTGTGGTGAAAAACTGATCCTTCTTTGGTCCAGGTGGAGAGGAAAAAATTTATTCTGAAACATCAGAATTGAATTCAGGAGAAAGTTGGACATCTTCTGTGGAAGAATCATAACTCTTCTAGGGGGAGGGAACAGTAAAGATGTATTGAACAGCAATAACATTGGTGTGGACATTGTCTTTATAGAGTATCTTATTCTTTATAAAACAATCTGATTATTCAGATTAACTACTGGGGTTGTTAACTGCTTGCCTTCTGATGAATTAGATTTAAGTCTTCATTAAATTGATGAGATGTCAAAGTATCTTTGAAAACAGACTTTTCTTAAAATTACTTTTAAAAATAACTTTTTAAATGGAGTGATAGTGCAGTATCTTTCTGGTGGATGTACTCTACATGTAAGAATAATTTGTTTTGTTGGGTTTTTGGGGTTTTTTTTTTTGGTTGTTGTAGGTTTTCTTGGTTTTTTTTTGTTACACTGCTGAGCCAAAACAGCCACGAGGAAGTCAATTGATATCTGATTGTGTATTGTGTATATATTTTTTTATGGGTTTTGGGGTAGTCTGTGTTTCAAAGACCTAAAACCAATTCATGATGTGCCAAAAAAGCTGTGCTACTTGTGGAATTTAGAATTTAGATATGTGTATTGGAGGAAAAGAGATTTTTAGGAGGAGGTGAAGGAGAAAGAACTAATTTGATGCTCTGCAGTTTGGTTCCATGGTATTGCAGTAAGGATAAACAGGAATACATGCTTAATGCTCAACGCTTGTTCCATGAGTCCATTCTGTGAAGCAGTTAAAAATGCTTTCCTGGTAACAATTTTTTTTTTTTTAGTGATTTCTAGTGGGTGATATAGACTAAAAATCGAGAAAAAGTGGAAATGGAAGTGGAGCTGTAGATAAGAGCTACTTTGAAAAGTGTATAGAATTTCATGCTATGTGCTGACTAGTTTGTGTAAGGTATAGTCTTGTTCCATTAGTGATCATTTGCTATACTGTATTAGCTGCTAAAAATGTGCTTGAATGATATTATTTTCATAGTAATGTTCATTGTCAGATCTTTACAGTATTTTATTTAGCTATACTAGCTTTCAAACCACTTATATATAAAAGCAAGTATTTCTAAAAAATGCTCAACAATACTGTAAAAGTTGGTTCTCAGAATCTGAAGAGCACATAATCACAAATGTTAAATCCTATAGAATCAGTTTGTCCTTCAGGAAGGGCTGGAAGTAGTGGTTTAGGACAGTATTCTTAATAAGAAAGTTCCTTTCAGCCAGTGTAATGTTTTGGTTGTCTGTGTTGTTTTTTCTTAAGTAATTTGTCTTCTTAAAGACCAAGGAAAAGCTTTTTTAGGGAACAGAAAATAATAGTAAACTGTTTAGTGACCGATGTGACTTTGAAGTGTTGGTTGCTCAGGAGGAAACCAAGTATGTAGTATCACAGGAAAAAATATCATTAACATTGTTGAAGCTCAACTGCTTCTCATCTTTTATTATGTAAAAAATCATGTTAGATTATAAGTCTCTCTCACAATTTCTTTTGGAACAGTACATTTCATATAGTTTTATTGATCTCCTGGGCATTTTCTGGGGATTGCATTTGCTCTCTAACATTCTTGCAATTGGAGTATGTTTTGTATAGTAGTGAAGAGCGTTTAGTATGAAAAGAATTACTATAACTCTGGCAAGACTTTACATTGCCTAAATCCGCCTTAGGGAGTTATCTCTGAAAGGAATAATTTTCAGTGTCACCTGCTTCTTTTGCTTTTGTAGCACTGCAAGGTGAATGAGTCACTAGTTGTACTGTAGCCTCTGAAAAGTCCTAGGTTTGCAACTGCAGGTGGACCTAAAAATAATCCGTTGCTTGAAAAGTTCTGTATGGTTGTGTGCTGTATTTTCTGGGGGGTTGAAGTTTAGTACAGAGAACACTTGATTAGAGAGAACTAGTGTAAATGTCTAAGTTTTCTATCTGAAAAATTCCAGTTGTCAAGCCATGAATGGGTCATTCGCCTTGGAAATAGTTTGATCCGGACCTCTGGTATACTGGAAATTATGCTGTTAGACCCCAGCTATATGCTGTAGAACTTATGTCAAAGTTGTTGTGGAGTGCATAAGTGCTTCAGAAAGAAAATAGATTTTTGCTTTGTCTCATATAATTCAGATTTTAATTAGCTTGCCACAGTGATAGAAAAAAGAGAAAGGAAGGATTTATTCTAAAATGTTAACTACAATGGATATCCTTAAATTAATTTGATTTGATTATGAGTAATGGAAGCTTTACATCTTGAATGTTTAGATGGTGTATATAGACCTGGTTATGTTCCATAGCTTAAATCTTTTATTCTGTAATACTGCATACATTTGAGGTAAAGGTAAATGTTAACTGATACATTGTTTTCTTCCTCCCCCCAGGTTCCTCCTAATAAAATAGATTATGAATATAGTGAACTGATTTTATATCAGAATCAAGTGATGAGAGAGGCAGATCTTTTTCAGGAGTCTTTAGAACATATAGAGACATATGAAAAGCAAATATGTGATAAATTAATAGTAGAAGAAATCAAAGGTAAGTAACTTTTATTCTTCCCTTGCCCAATTTTGTTAGAAATTTTTGCTAATAGCTTTCAGACACAATAAAGCAGTGAAAGGAAGAAAATACAGCATGTAAAGTCTTTAATTTACTTGTAACAATTACTATAGGAAAGCTGGTACTAACAGATTTACAATTTTGTACACAAGTAAATAACTTTTTCTACCAAATTTGGTAGTGGATGCAGGTAGTCTATCTTGGGTTGACACAGGGATAGAGGAAATCTCAGAGATTGTTAGTATACTAGAGTAACTTTCCATATATCAGAACTATTATGACCTAGTTTTAATCTTATGAAGAAGAACTTCATAAAGAATACTGTTTGAAGTACAAACGCAAATTTTTCTTTTTTTTGACTGAAGTATCAAATTCTTGTTTCCTTTTCAACCTTCCTAATGCACTTACTTACTGAAGTTGACTTTTTTGGTTAAAAATAACTCTCAGTTATTTTGTGCATTTAAAGTGCTATTACTGAATTTTGAATATGTGTGAGTAATGACATGTGTTCTTCAGCTACTCCTTGCACAGTTGTTGTGGGCTGACCCAGACCAGTGGGATAAGCCCCACACAGCTGCCTACTCACTTCACCCAGCCTTGCTTGTCAAATCAGGAGGGACTAGGAAGAAAAAAGGAATAGAACTTGTGCATTGAGATTAAAATAGCTTGAGTGATGTAGAGAAAGAGAAAGGAAGGATAGAAAGAGAAAGGAAGGAAAATCAAACCCAGTTCCTCGACTTCTGCAGTCCCTATACACTTCCCACAGTCTGATGCTCAGCTAGTCTGCAGGCAATGCTACCTAACCCAACACTCCTCCTTAATCTTTGTTGCTTAGTATGAAACTGAACAGCATAAAGTATCTCTTCATCCAGTTTGGATCAGCTGTCCAGGTTGTGTCCACTCCTGCCTTCTTGTCCACCCTGCTCTACTTGCAGAGCAAGTCCAGAGTGTGGACTCTACCAAAAAATAAAAGGACAAACCTTGATGGTCTACAAGTACTGCTTATTAGTGGTGGAAATGTTGGTGTATTTATCAACATTTAGTCACAAATCCCAAAATACAGCCCAGCATAAGCTGCTGTAAAGAAAATTAACTCCCTTCAAGCTAGACCTGGTAGAACAATTTACTTAGTAGCAAACCAGTGTGATTTAATGAGTTAAAAACTGATTCATTGATGTGAAAAATGTGCTTGAGTAAACAGTTTGATAAATCTGATCTAATTCTGTGATGAAGTCCTGGAAGGAGGAGTTGCTTGTTTATTTGATAGTCTCAATAGCTATTTTATATACTCAGATACAGACATTCAGGTAGCCTTTGTTTTCACAAGTGATGAATGTTCTGAACTCTGTATGTGGTTAGCTTCAAGTAGCATTTATAACAAACAGCAAATGTCTTTGAGAAAAGAAGGTTCTTTTTAAGAATCTGTGTATGCTTAAGAACAATTCTATATATCTAGTGTTGTAAACCTTACTTACAAGTGTTTTTTGATGTAATTCATAGTTGTGTACTGTGTTGTTTCTAGGAGAGATGTTACTCAAGTTAGGAAGGCTGAAAGAAGCTGGTGAAGTATACAAAGAGTTAATTGAGCGTAATGCAGAAAACTGGTATTATTATGAAGGCTTGGAAAAGGCCCTACAACCCAGTAAGTTAAGCTACACAGATACAGTGAAAATATGTATGATATAAGATACACTTAGAATTCCTGTTTGATAGAGTATTGCTTTTAGATTAGAAAGTTCTACTTGGCAGAAAATTATGTACCTTCTGATTTTGAATATTATGTAGTATGTTCTTTCATTTTTAAAATGTTCACTGAAAAACTTGCATACTTGAAAATACCAACACCAAGTATTTATCTTCTTGGAATTAAGGGTGGTATTTACTAAGATGCTTATATGAAGAATATTCCTCTTCCACACGTGAACTTGGAAACCAAATGGCTATTAATTCCTGTCTAGTAGTTGATTATCAGACTGCTATCATATGCCACAACATAAAATTGTAATTTTGAAGCTTGTTTAGATCATATCTCTTTCTATGGCATATAGGAAATACTCAAATATCTATTTAGGATGGCCTTTTAAGATAGACCATCTGAAAAAGATAAGGTTGTTTTCCTTTTTTTTTTTTAAGTTGTCACTTTAGAAGGTAAAGGTGATAAATGTTTTAAAACCTTTGTTACTCCAATGCCAGCTCACATTTCTGCTATTGTGTTTTTCCAGAAAAAATAGCTCATTTTTCAAAAGTACAGTATTGCAACTGTTTATGCTATGTTCAGTCTTTTGCACTGATAACTTTCCAGAGTGTTTACATTTACACAGAAATGGTTTCTTAGCATTTAGTTTTTCCACTAATTAGTGAAAATTTAATGGAATTATTCTGATGACATCATAAATCATAAGCTCACAATTATATTATTTGTAGATGTTATAGCTGCATTACATTTTGCAACCAACTTTCTTCTAGGAAGTTTTGCCATTAGATCTCATGAGCTCTGAGAATACAGGTAGTGATTGGGTAGTGAAAATTATTTAATTTGTTATATATAGTCAGCGTTGTCTCAGAAATCAGACTACCCAGGAACTCAGTTATTTTCTCTGATGATACAGCAAATATGTTGACGAAAGCATGTAGTTTTTAACAAAGAACCAGTCCCGTAGTTTTTGACATACTAAATTCCTATGTAGACTAAAACTGTACTAATTCTATAAAACTAATAATGCTACTTTATTTTTTAGGTGGTCTTAGGACTATTTCCTCCCCCATGGTAAGTTCTGGAGCTCCAACTTGTGACTTCAATTAGGGCTTTTATATGCTTTAGTTCCAGTCCAAACAATATTTTAGTATTACTTTTATAACTCTACATCTGTTGGAGACACTGGGTAATAGATTTCCCCCCCCTTCCCCAAAATCTGAGCTCAGTGACAAGATAAACTGGTTTTCTTATGAAAGGAAAACAGATATATTTAATACATATGAATTGTACCCTTTTATCTGTACATTCAGTTTTAAATTGTTTGAATTTAATATTTAAGCAAAATCGATTTTATTTATATAAAAAATGGCATTTTAAAGCAAAAGATGAGTGTTATTTAAATTCTAACCACATTGGAGCTCCAAAGCATATTATGGGGGAAAGGGGAGGAGTGGGCAGAAAATCAAGTAGCTTTATTTTTGTTAAACATTGAGGTATAGTTTTGGTGCTCAGTTCTTACTGGCAGTATTGTACCCTGGTTTTGCTGTCACCAGAGGACCCATAATAGAGGGATACTTGTATAGTGTGCTATATGTATGCCTGTGGTCTAGAAATACAACATGTTTCTCTGAATGCGAAGTGTGTCTGAAATGAATGCATAGTGAAAAAAGGTTAATTGAAGCTATGAATGTAATACAATGTATGAATGGGTCTGAACAGCACTGAACTGAAAGAAACCAAACTCCAGCTCTGTGTGATTGAATGTGCAAGGTAATGGTCATGTTTACAGTTTATCCTTAGAGTGATTAATGCTGGTAGCTGTATATTGTACATACAGTGTGTTCTCAGTACAGTTTTTGTTCATGATTAACTGGAAAAAGTAGCATGAACTGTTTAAATTGCTCCCAATCCACACAAGGAGTCTAGATCAATTTAAAGTCATTTAAAAGAATAGGTTTTTATGTCTGTTACTTACATCTATTGTATTTGCTGATAATAGGCACTTTAGAAGAGAGGCTTCAGATTTATGAAGAAGTTAGTAAAAGACATCCCAGAGCAGTTTCACCTAGAAGATTACCTTTAAACTTTGTTTCAGGTAACAAGTTGCATATCTGTCTGTAATAGTTTTTTTCCTATTTTTTTTCTGCAGTTTTCATCAGGCTGTTTAATATGTATTTAAAACCTACTTTGCATTCAATACCTACTTGAACATGTAGACAAATCAAATGTATGCATTTCTCTTGGATTAGACATAATTTTATGTTTTAGGAGTTGAAAGAAAAGCTTCATACACTTAAATATGATTATATGAGCTATGTAAAATTTGTGTTGATAAAACTACAGTATAGAATGATATGTAGATTGTAGGAATTTCTATACATAATTTTTCTGCAAGTTAAGAATCATGAGTTAAAATGTAGGGTATAGTACACTTTAATTCAATGCATAATATGCATATTTTTCCAATAAAAATGTACACCTACTTTCTTGTAGAGCCATTAGAATTTAATTTGACAACAAAGACTGCCTTTGTGCTGCTAATTTGATAAGAAAAGTAACAAAAATACCTGCAGTGTAATGTAGCCCAAATTATTTCATTTTATAGCAAAGTTCTTTGTGACTTTGCTGCTTCAAAATTTGTTTTGAAATATGGTGCACAAATACGTCAGTTTTGGAAGGAAAATGTGTACATGTTAAAATAGAAAGCTGAGCTCTTCTAAAGCAGAAGGAAGGAGACTAAATTAAATGGTAAATGCTATAAAAATATATAGTTAGTGTCTAGCTGCTGAAATTCCAGTAGAAGACTTTTGGAAAGTATGTAAGGTAGATATCAAGTACATAAGCTTGAGGTCAACTGCAAATTCCCAACATACCTCCTCATGCTTTTAAATTTTTAAGGTTAGTTTATAGTTTAGCTCATTTGCTGAGCACCACATTGTTGGTACCTTTAAATGTTCCAGAGCATCTAGTCCACTTCCTTGTTGTTTCCCATGTGCCTGAATGTGCATACGCATTTCCTGCATAAAATTAAAAGATTTTAACTGCTTCATAACAAGTTGCCACTTGTGCCTTTTATCGTCCTATATCCTTCAGTTTATTTGAAGATACAGGGGCAAATTTTAAGGCATTTCAGCTATTTTTGAAAAGTTGGGTGATGAGTAATGGATTTTTTTTTTAATGTAATAAAACTGTAATGGTAACACAGCAAACAAAATAACCTGCAAAACACTTTCCTATATCTTTATTAATAGTGTGTTTTGCTGTTGACTTCATTTCACTGTGTGTTTTTCTCTAGGTGGCCTTACACCCAACAGTGTAGTTTCACAGCTTATGTTTGTTTAAGTAGAAATGTATAGTAACAAGAATTAGTTGCTCATGCTGTAACAATAGGGTAAATGAAAGCAAAATCCATTATTAGATTGGACAAGAAAAATATCTTGGCTACTTTCTGTAGCATTTTATAACAAATCAGAATTTTTTCAAAATTAAAATGTTTTTCTGCTAACTTATTTAGCCTGTCAGACATGAATGTATAAGACTGTTTTTGATCCTGTAGAGATTTATCTATTTAATAAATGATTTTATGTGTTTACAAGTACAGGAGACAAGAATTTCTTTTGGTTGAAATTTTATAGCGAGAATGTGAAGGTGTAGAAAGGAACACCTTTGCAGAAAAATGTTGGCAAGTTTCAAGACGGCAGAACTTCTGGTTAAATGCAGTTACTGTTCTAGTGTGGTCACTGACCAGTTACAGCTGTCACTGTTTGATTCAGAATTAAATTGCTCTTAAAAAATCAAATACTCTAAAATCCAGGCTTATGCTAAAAGGATAAGTTCTCGTCCAGACCTTGCTGTGCATTGAATCCTAACCTTGTATTTGAAACAAATCAGCTCCTTGATCGAGCTGGAAACCACCTTTATGGAGGAAGGCTGTTACCATCAATTTTACTGATCAAGTGTGTGTGCATGCATTTTTATATTTGTTTATGGTCTTGTGGTAAGGTGTGTGCCTCAGACTAAATTGTAGCTGCTTCTTGTCATAGGTGGGTGCCCAGCTGTGTGCCTTTTAATTTTTTTTACTTTGTTTTAAAACTGTTGTTTTCTGTAAGTAAATAGGTATTTAATGGACACTTGAATCTTGCTTTCCTAAATTCTAAATTATGATTCTTCCAGCAAGATAAAAAATTAGAAGAATTCAGCAGGAGAGACTGAGATGGATTTTTTTTTCTTTATAAAGGGGAGTTTCTGTACAGTGAGACAACACATTTTAATTATTCCATCTGTAAAAAAGCATGTGCTTACAGTCCAGTTATATATATACAGCATCTATATACAGTTTGATTTAGTACAGCAAGGTGAGAACATGAAGTACTTTCATTAGTCTCAGTATTAGCAGTACTGCTGATAACAGTAAGTGTATGACAATTGAGAATTTATAGACGTAAATGAAAATGTTGTATACAAAGCAGTAGTGTCTGCATTTTCTGCATATCTAAAAAAAACTGTTAATGAAATTTTAATGTGTTCTTATTGAGGTTAAGTTTATTTCAACAGTTTTGTCAGTTTTATGGGTGAATCTTAGTATTACATGAAGTGTGGTACTTCCTTGTTGAGATAGTTAGAGTAAGTCCACAACAGAGGAGGCACTGAAGTGTGGAAAAAGTTCATCCCTATGCAAAGTAAACAAAGTCAATAAAAATAATAGAAAAACCCCCAACCAAACAACAACAACCACTTCCTCCAGGCCCCCCCACCCTGAAAGTAAACAATCACTTTCATCATAGGAAAAAACAATGAAAACTAGCTATTTTCCTGGCTGGATGTCTTCTGTTTGAAGTACTGCTTTTTCTTTTTTTTTCAACATCATTTCTCAGAAAGGTAGTACTTACTGCAAATATTGTGATTTTTAACTGAAAATATAATTGGATCAGATTTTTAGCTTCCTGAAGTATATTTTGATACAGGTGATTCTGATATGGAGCTTATATTTCTGAAACAATAAGTCTTGTTTCTAATTCCAGAAACAATCATATCACAAGTCATGGCCTACTAATAAAAATAGGACTAGAAGAGTAGCAAAGGATTAATTTCATCCATCCTTTTTCCTCAAATCAGGATACTTTATATCTCCACTACTCCTAACACATATTTGTCTAACTTACTCATGAAAACCTCCAATTATTTGCTCCATTGCTATTCTTAATATTATAGGGTGTTTTCAGTGTTTGTTTAAATAGCTTTTGCTACATCCTCTGTAGTCAGCACTTAATATTTTCTCTTTCTAATAGACTGCAGGTTTGAGAACTGTTACCATGTCTGCCAGCAAACTCCTAAACACTAGCAACTTAAGCATTTTAATCTGATTTTTTTTTTTTTTTTAAAATCTGGAGCATATTTGTGTCTTATTAGTAACAGGAAAGACTAAAGCCCTCAATTGCAGTTTCTCAGTTCCTCTGTTATCTAGAGTTGCACAGCAGTTAGTGCATATATTTATATAACACTTGCAATCACTGACATATAACCAAACACACTTTTGTTCCTAGGTGAAAAATTTAGAGAACTAACGGATAAGTTCCTGAGGGTTAACTTCAGTAAAGGCTGCCCACCATTGTTTACCACTTTGAAATCTTTATATTACAATCCAGAAAAGGTAAAATTTAGTATTTATTTGGTTTTAATGAAGTCTTCTGTATTGAATTGCTAATAGACTATCAAAGCGTTTTTGTAACTTTCCCTGTAAACTACCAGTTAGTGTTGAACATTTTTTCCCTAATGTGCTATTTTGTCATATGTGAATGATCATTTGATGTTAAAATTCTTGAAGTCAGATCGGTGCAGAGTGCAATTAGGTTCTTGAAAAATTCGAGATGATTGTTAACTTTGTGTGCTTTGAGTGCAAGTGTTACAGAATTCTTTCAACTTATGGTTTATGATGTCACCAGAAGTAGTGCTTTTAAAATAACAGGTGGCTATTGTTCTATGTACATTTCTGAATTGCATGACTACATTAGTCAAAGGCTTGTTTCCTTTTTCAGTCTTTTGCTGAAACTCAGTGTATAATTTTTGTACTTCTATACTCTGTTTTGGTGTAATTGTGTCACAAATGAACTGTTGTTTCAAATGTAATTCTTCCTTCCAAACTTGACAGCAAGGTATACCAAAAAAAAATTTTTTTTTACAAAAGTATGTTACTAAAGTGTGTAGGAAACAGAATAATTAAGATCAGTCTCTTCCGATACATCTCTTCAGATCTTTGCTACAAACTTCATAGGTATTCTAATCCATTCATGAGTAGGCAAAAAGAGGGGTTTGTATATGAAGAAACCCTAAATACATGATGCAGCTTTTCAACCAGAAGTGACCACTCTGTTATTTGGACTAAAATTTTTATTCTTTTGAAGAGTTTCTTTCCTAGTGTTCTAACATGAAATTTTCAATACACTTCTGTAATCTCTACTTTTTTCCATGGTTGACATAATTTTAGTAAATTCTGGTATCGTGTTGTTGTGGTTTAACCTCAACTGGCAACTTAAGTACCATGCAGCTGCTTGCTCACTCCACCCTGCCTGATGGGGGAGTAGAATCAGAAACACCTAAACCTTGTGGGTTGAGATAAGGACACTTCAATGTTGAATCCAAATAAACTATAATGATACTAATAATTGTAATGAAAAAGGGAGAAGGAAGAATAAAAATCGAGAGAAACAAATGATGCATGGAATAATTGCTCTCCATTCACTGACCAGTGCCCTGCCTATCCCTGAGCAGTGATTGACAGCTCACAGCCAACTCTCCTCATTTATATACTGGCCATGACACTGTATGGTATGGAATATCCTTTTGGCTACTTTAGGTCATCTGTCCTGGTCATGCTCCTTCTTGGCTTCTTGTGCCCCTTCTGCCTCCCAGACCATGGGAACCTGGACAGTCCTCACCTCAGTGTAAGCATACCTTAGAAACAACTAAAACATCAGTGTCTTATCAGCGTTGTACTCGTGCTGTAAGTTCCAAACACAGCACTGTGCTGGCTACTAAGAAGCAAATTAACTCTATCCCAGCTGAAAACAAGATACTTGTATAGTACTGGCTTTTCTACAGTGCCTATTGCTACTGCACACTTATCAGTGTAAATGAAATGCAAGCGAAATTTTTTACGTTGTGGTGCACGGGGTATCTAGATAGAAGCGCAGTCAATGTTAGGGAACTCTAACCTCTGCTATTTGAAGTGTGAAGAATCTGGATGTTGAAAGATACGTATAAACTCATTCAGCATCTGAAAAGATTTCTTGCACTTAATTTTTGACATGATGGGTAAAAAAAGAGGGCTGCTATATTTTGAGGCAGACTTACACAGAAAAGTTCCTTTCTGGTAGTCATCTTCATTATACCAAATCAGTGTTGCTCAAAACTGTCAGCTTAATCCTAAAAAGTAATTAAAATCAAGAGCTTCACCTTTTCCAAATGTGCTTGGGATTCATTTGTGCTGATGACTTCTGCAAAAGCATTTTTGTCATATTTCAAATAATTTCGTTACCAAAGCAGGCTGTGTTTTACATTTTACTTGGTTGGGTTTACTTATAGCTATAGTGTGACAGAGGAATCTTTGAAACTAAGAGAAACTTCAATTTTAGTCCCTGACAGTTAATTTTAGAATTACTAAAATTTAGGGGTTGAGGGCAGAAAATTGTAACAAACTCATGTGTGCTATATCTTTCAGGAAAATATTCTGGTTTTTTTTATTTAATGTGTCTAAGTTGGAGCTTAATGTTAGCTTCTCACATAAATTATTTGTATGGTTTGACTGAAAGAAGATTGTAGTCAGTATTGTTATGCCTTCTAGAAAATACCTAGCAAAATTCTGATTTCTCTACCAGTTGGGCAGGAAGTTACCCCTGTGTTTCTTTGTAAACAAGTGCAGTTTGGTGCAGTCAACTGCAGTTGGATTTTGAAGTGGTGGGTCTGTGACCTTTCATGAACAGCAAAGAGAAAAGGGTGGTTGTATAGAAGAGCAACATTTATCAGATATGTTCAGGAAAATGTTATTTATTATCTAATTGCTGTAAGATGGTACTCAGCCTTTTGGATGTGCTAGGTAGGCTTCTTCCCAAGGTGTATTACATGAGCACTTTGTATCTATGAAACTAACACTGAGGAAGCTTTCCCAGCTGCTTCTGGAGAGAATTAATGAATGCCCCACCAAAAATAAAACTGAAATCCCTGCAACGCCAACTGTGCATGGCATGTTATTTTTCAGCTACTGAATTGGAATTTGTTTACGTTTGTGTGCAAATATTGGTGTAATGAAGGGTGTGGATTGCAACTTGCTCTTCATCATTTTGTAAAAGAATGAGCTTTGCTTTGATTAAGTAGGGAAGGTGGTTTTAATCTTCCTTCACAGTGCAAGTAGAAGTGTTTAAGATCCTTTGGGTAAAGTCTCAGAAGGGTGCTGTAAGTAGGAAATGTAATGCTGTTTGTTTCATTAAAACCGTAATATTAAGGTTATTGCTGGAAGAAACTTTCAGCAGCCAAAGACATGAGTATCTGAAATATGTTCAATAAAAAAGACTGCCAAAAAGCAACAAAGCTCTATGTATATTCAAAGACTTGTTTTGAGTAAATAATTCCTTGATAAATAAATTTCTAATGAGGGAAAATATGCTTCATATTGCATTATGCAATCTATGCCTTTCCTGCAATACTGGAGCAGAAAAAAGCATGTGTGTTGGCCTTGTGTTCAGTTTGTGATGTGCAGAAGCTTATATTTGACTGCACAATTGGGTTGAAAAGGAAGCTTCAAGATTTGGTGACTGTGAAATTTGGATGCTTGAGAAAGTAACAGAGATAGTGTGGTGAAACCTGGGACAAGTGGTGCTGGATTTCATCATTCCCAGCAATATTGTTGCCTCTTAGGAGGAAATTGCTAACCCACTGATGGTTGTGTTAAAGCAGACTTTAAAAGAACTACAGAACCTGATGTGTAGAAGGTATTAAGCTGGCATTGCTGTAAATTAATGTGCATGCTTTTGCAGCAAGAGCTGGTTTCAGACTTTGTAGTCCATTACTGGTTGCAAATCAGTGATCTGACTTATGTTTTGCTCCATAGTTTTAGAAGGGTGTTATACAAGACATGGTTTAATCCTTCAAAGCTCTTCAGACGAGGTTGTGGTTTCTTCAGGTTTTGTGCTGTTATGCTGTGGCAATAAAGTAGCATGTGAACTGGTTTGCTTTTTTTACTGATTCTTCTTTGTCAAGCCACCTGGACTGGAGGAGAGATAAGTAGTTCAGGCTGAAGGGTGAGAAGCCATAAGAAAAGCAGCTAACAATTGTCTTTAGCCTAGAAACTGTACTGTCATTTTAATTTGATCAATGTATTGTGCTGTGGATAGAACTTTCAAGAATACTGCAAATAAAATAAAATACAAAAAATATAAAAATATTTTTGAAAATTATGCCTGCTGCTCAGTATCCTGAGTGCAGTTCTATACCATGCTGTAGCATAAAATTACTCTAATATTGGAATAAGGAGAGGGGCATTGAATTGCAGGATGAACTGTTGGACACAGGCCATTTGAGTCAATATTGTCTTTTTTTTTTTTTTTGTAATATTGGCAATTGATTTTGTACAGGTTATGTGCATGAAACAGGAGTAAAAGGAGTTTGGATGTAAAGAGTTCAAGTTATTTCTCAAGTGATAATTGTTACTGTGCTCCCTGTTTGTAGATACCAAAGGCATGCACTAATCACTTCCTGACTTGCTGTACTGGTACACAGCCAGATTCCATGTCTTTCCAACTGAAGGCAAGGTCAATTGGAGGATGATAGAGACTACTGGACTCAGTCTTAAACTATTTTCCAGTGTCTCATTCAAAGGAAGTTTATAATATCATATAGACTGTGTTCGGTGGTACATCATTGCTGATACTCAGTCACAGATTACTTTTTATCTGCAAAATACTAGATAAATCATTTGATGGAACACTGTCTTGATGGCTTTGTGTTTAAAAAAAAATACTTGAAGTATAATGGTCAGCACTACAAGTTTGTTTCAGATGATTCAGTTCGTTTCAGATGATTCTTGAAGTAACCACTGTACATTGTGAAGAAATTAGCTATGCTTTCCTTCTATTCATTATATGGCAGCCTGAGGCTTTCTAAACATGAAAACCCTTGGTTATAATAAAGTAGTGTAAATTAATCTGGTTACATAAAGGCAAAGTTCACAAATGTAAAAAGCATTGCCCCAGATTCTACTCACCCATGAGATTTGGCGAAAGGAAATGGCTGATCTGAAGATGAGCTGAGAGCTTCCTCTACAGGTTGATAGTGTTAAAGAACTTGCATTCTGAGCTTGATATTAATATTTCTCACCTAATCTTGAGTTTGGTCAACTTCTCAAATACCAGCCTTTGCCTGTTTGTACAATTCCCCTTGAAACACGTTCTTGGTTCTGGCTATTGTTTAAGCATTCCTGAGGGAACACTGTGAATGTCTTACTGCTCTAGAAAACTCTAAGTTCTCTCCGAGAAACAAACATTCCATGTTTGTTTCTCAGACCTTTTCTCCCCATATTAACTTCATTTGGATAATTTCTATCAAAAAATTGAAGAATTCTGGGGTAAGAGTTGCCTGTAAAGGCAAAACACTCTGTGA